GATTTGGAACAGTGCAAGGAGCTGTGGAGGATCCTCCTCGAAATGACAGCCACGCGCTCCTTTTAAGGTACACTAACAGGATGTTAACAAGTCCGAAAATAGTCCTGATTTTTATGAGCGGCCCGGAAATACTGGAAAAGTGCGGAAATTCCGCAAGTAGGTCCGGAATTTTTTCATTTTTTGTCATTTTTGTTTCAATTTGAGCGGGAAATTCAAATTTTTTAAGTTTTTCGAATTTCGTCTGATGGACAAACTGAAAAAGTCCTGAATTTTTCTATTGAGGAGGTACACGGAATTTCTCGGGAACTTATTGAAAAAGTACCGGAAAAGCACTGATTTTTGGCCAGCCTGTTTTAGTAGCAGGGTGTCTACTAAAACAGGCTGGCCAAAAATCAGTACTTTTTCAGTACATTCCCGAGAAATTCAGTACCTCCTCAACAGAAAAATTCCGTACTTTTTTGGTACCTTCAATTGACAAAATTCGTAAAATTTGAATTTTTTGCATAAATTGCGGCTAAAATGGCGAAAATTCCGGACGTTCTTGCGTAATTCCGCACTTTTTCAGTACTTTCGAACCGCCCCACAGTGGATCGAGTCAATTAGAGAGGTCGGACCTAAAATTTTTGACTGAAACTGCAAATTTTGATGTTTATTTAGCCACATCCCAAATTTCAAGGAGAGTTTCTTGTAGAAAATTTAACGAGGAAACCACTGAAACAATTTTTAGAACCTCAAAGTTTCGTATAAACGGAGACATAAGCGTTTAAAGTTTCCAAATTTTGTCCGACCTCCTATAGACTCGATCCACTGTGCGCCCTGTAAAATCAGTACTTTTTCCAGACTCTCAGGAAACTCCGGACTTGTAGACACCCTGACCAGTCTTATTCTTACAGTGTCACTCGAGTTGCCTTACTTCCGGTCGGATTTCCTCGAGGGCGCTGCAGTGGGACGCCACTCGGTGGTGGGGAAAAGTCCGGGATGAAAACTGGATTAGAGCCACGAGAGACGGGAATAAGCGGGAGCCGCGCCCGCGCCCGGGAGACGCTAACAAATCGTGACCAAGATGGCGGCGCGCCAGAAAGGTAGATTCCGCAGACGAGATGAGCGCCGGGGGGCACCGGCTCCGCGGGGCGGGGAGGGGGGCGAGGGTGGGGTCGTCGGGTCGTGGTGGAGGCTGCGGTGGCGGTGATTGACCCGGCGCGGGGACTGGGAGCATTTTCCTTCACCTCCAAGAGGTGAGAGGTCCACCAACCTCTACTGGAGGCAGGTGAAATTCCAGGTGAAAACCCCGTGGAAGCATTCCTGTGCCTTAAGTCTGTGTAACACGAGCAAAGTAGAGCTCTTGAGAAGGCTCAATGGTGGCATCGTTGACTGTTAACCTCCCGAAGAACAATCAGGGTCGCGAGAAGTTCGGAATTTCCGGAAATAGTACGCTGATTTATTAAGGGCGGTCCAGAAGTAATGAAAAAGTGCGGAAATTCCACACGAAGGTCCGGATTTTTTTCATTTTTGTAGCAATTTGAGCTAGAAATTCAAATTTTTCAAGTTTCGTCGAATGAAGATACTGGAAAGCTCTGAATTGATTTTCATCTGCATGCTTGCGTAGAGATCGTAGCTTCTATCCGTACAAGCAGATGGAAAGGATTAAACAGAGTGAGGAGTTCTTGAAGAGTCTTTGAAAACCTAGAAAACTCGGGGAAAAAACTGTCCAGCCCTGAAAAGTTAGGAAAATTTGTTGCAGGATCTTGAAATTCTTTTTTCCGGTCGTGAAATTCGATTCTATTCTGCCGCATTTCCATGCTCTATCGATGGAAATGAGAAGTTATATCTAACAGTTCTCTTGAATTGTTTACGATTTCACGAGATTTTGCGCTAGAAA